AATTAAGATAAAAAATTTAAACCTCTGTCATGCTTCCAACGTACCAAGAAAAAAAATCATCAAACCTAATTTTACTATTAGTCTAGTCAGTTAAGCAAGTCTCGAAAAAACTCATTAGAACTCTTAAAATAGGTAAAAGAGTAACCAATGATCTGTTAGTTCGAGTGGAATGAGTTTGATTTTTCTTAAATAAGATCTCGAATTTAAATCTTGTAAATGAAAAAATAAGTATCAAAAGAGTTTAGTTTTAATAGGATTTGATGTGATTTGATTCGAAATTAATTGAAATTCAATGTAGTTAAGTTTAATGAAAAAAAAAAAAAAAAAAAAAAGTAAAAGAGTGCCAAACCTCACAAATCCCTAGAACTTTTTATCCTTTCCAAAAACAGCGGATTATTACAGGACTAATCAAATACACAATCGAAAGCTAGGATACTCGGGATTTTTCTGAGGCTTGATAGTTGATACTGCCTTTTACTTCCAAATCAGCAAAAACGCAATAATCCAATGCATGAATTTTTTGAGCACACGGATATGCATATCCCAACGGTTGATTCTGCTCTTGCAAAGAATAATTAATTAATGAAAAGTTATTAATACACTATTTAATTCAATATCTGCTTAATTTAATTATTAAAATATAATATAAATATAATTAATTTAATCAATCATTATATTTTATATATAGTTATATTTTTAAATTTATTTATTTTTAATTTTAAATTAAAAAATAATATAATTTTTAAAAATATATTGCATAATGTATTAAATTCGAAAATATATCAATTACTGTTATAAATTAATTTCTCCTCTTTCAGGACACACCAAGTTAACCCAGTACCTCCCAAACATCTATCCTCAATCCCAGATTTAACCATAGCTCTTATTTTTAACTATCAAAGGTACAGCTTTGATTGGTTCATTACATTTTGTAATTGTAAAATTATATATGTAATATACTATTCTCTGACATAAATTAGGTTTTTTTATTGGTTAAGAATATAATAAATATATTTTTTGTCATAAATTTATATTTAAAAAATAAAAATTAATATTTAATTTAACAAATGTTTAACTAAACTTATTCACATAATAACGGTATTAAAATTAATACTAACTTTTACATTTTTACGACGAAAAGGTATTATTCACTTGTGCCCTTTAGAAAAACTCTTCTGTTTTTGGGATATTTAAATTTGGTTATCTATTTTTCCTTTTAAAATATCATTTAATAAGTTTATTTTTATTTTATCTTTATTTTAAAAAATAATTACAATATATATTAAATAAAAAATTTATTTATGTTGTGATTAAATTTGAAATTTTTATAAAATTAATTATCTTATCTTTATTTTATTAAATAAAAAGTTAAACAAACTAAAATAGAACAGCGTAAGTATATATTTTAGTATAAACTGATTTTTTTAGTCAAAATTATTTTCTCTAATAAAAATAAAAAATAAAAAAGTTTAGGAGCTCTTAATATTTGCCAACAAAAAGACAACCAACAATTTAAACCTTGCAACAGTCTATATATAGCATTAGGCCAATTGGGTAAGAAGACACACAAAAGCAAAGCTTCTCCAAATTCCATATTTCTCTGCTTCCTTTCTGAATCTGTGATTAGCCATGACTAGAAAGAAGGTGAAGCTCCAATACATCTCTAATGACTCTGCAAGGAAAGCCACCTTCAAGAAAAGAAAGAAGGGTCTCATGAAGAAGGTGAGTGAACTCACCACCCTTTGTGGGATTGAAGCCTGTGCTATTATCTACAGCCCTTATGACTCTCACCCGGAGATTTGGCCTTCTCAAGCTGGAGTCCAGCGGGTGCTGTCCCGCTTCAAGAAGCTGCCCGAGATGGAGCAGAGTAAGAAGATGGTGAATCAGGAGAGCTTCTTGAGGCAGAGGATTGCCAAGTCCAACGAGCAGCTCAAGAAACAGAGTAAGGAAAACAGGGAGAAGGAGATGACACTGGTCATGTTCCAGGGGCTCACTGGGAAATCACTGCTCAGTCTCAACATGATGGATTTGAATGATCTGGGATGGCTGATTGAGCAGAATTTGAAAGACATTAACAAAAGGGTGGATTTGCTTAGCAAATCTGGATCCCATAATTCTCAAGTGCTACAATCCAGCATGGTGGCGCCCACTCCCGATGTGGCAGTGGACAGGGCAGTAATGGGCATGGAGACGAACATGCAGAGGCAGCAGCAGTGGTTTTCTGACATGATGAACAGTCATGAGCAAATGGGATTTGGAGGGGATGACATGATGTTCCCTTTTGGGGATGGCAACCATAATAATCTTTGGTCTAATGCATTCTTCCCTTGATTCAGGAAAAACAATGTACCAATGTGTCAGGTGGTGACATTGGTTGGTCTCCTGTTTTTATTATCATATGCATGTTTTCCAGCATTTTCCGTTTTCCATTGTAATTGATGTCTGCCAATGGGAAAGAATTGAAGAATAATTAGATTATTAGAGGGTGGATTCGTGTGGATTGAATTTAAAGGATGTATACCTTTCTCGGTGTTTTAGGTATGATTAGTATCTTTGGTTATTAATTTAGCATTTGAAGGGTGTATAACATTTGTTTAGTCATTAATTTCACATATAACTAGAAATAAAAGTGCAGGCATTTCACTAACAAAACAAGCCGTTCAAATCAATCAGCAAAACCAACGAGGAGTTGGATCAAGT